TCGACAGAACCTCGTCCTCGCAGCAGCACTCGCACGGGCGACGCAGGTGGGCGTGGAAGGTAGAAGGCACGAGCACCGGCACGAGGCCCTGCTTCTTGACGAGCTTCGAGTACGAGCGGACGACGAGGCAGAAGTAGGCGCAGACAGCGAGGGCGAGCACCGAGGCGAGGAGGTCGAGGGTGTGGTGGTGCAGGGCCGCCCGCACGCCCGCCCACACCACGGCCGCCATCACCACCACGGACAGCACCAGCCACGGCACCAGCAGGCCGCTCCGCTCCTGCGAGGGGAGAGGGAAAGGGGGGGGGGGGTCAGGCTAACAGTGGCTGCAGCGTCTGCAGAGGTAATGATGCTACAGATTGCGATAATGATATCAGTATCGGTAAGAAGGATAATGATGATAATGATAAGGATGATAAGGATTATATCAATGACTATATTGATAAGGATAATGACAATAATAATGATGAAACAATAATAATGATAATAATAATGATAATGATAATAATAATAATAATAATAATAATGATAATAATAATAATAATAACAACAATAATAATGATAATAATAATAATAATAAGATGATGATGATGATGATGATGATGATGATGGTGATGATAATCATTATTATCATCATGACAACATTAATAATGATATCGATAATGATAACAATGAATAATAGCAATAATAACACTAATGATAATAGTAATAGCAATGGTAATGGTAATAATAATATCAATAGTGATAATAATGATAATAACAATAAAAACAATGATATCACATTAACAATGATAATGATAATAATAATACATTACGAAAGAAGGAAGAAGGACTTGAAAAAAGGAAACACCAGTGAAAATAAGTGAATGAATAAATAAATAAGTAAATAAACAAATAAACGTACTGTCAAATGAACGAAAACAGAACCGTCAAAGAAATGATAAACAGGAATGGGAAGGCAAGCCAAGATGAAAAATAGTTACAGGAAGTGGTTCCGTAATGACCGAATAAATAAAAAAAATTAGCGAGCGTTTTTGTATCATTGTTTTTTCAAACCAAGTTCCTCTGTGACGTCACACATTTGATATCGAATTCTGTTTATCATATTAAGTCCACAGTGGAGTTTGAGATTGTCGGTATCATTGTCATTATCATTACCATTATTATGATTGTAGTTATTATCATCATTATTATCATTACTATTACCGTTATTATTACCAGTAGTAGTAGTAGTAAAGGTAGTATTGATGTTGTTGTTGTTATCGTTATTACTACGTTTATCATTAAAATTATTATTACTACTAATACTATTTCTACTACCATATCTACTATTACTATTATTCTTGGTGTTGTTATCGTTATCGTTATCATTGACATTGTAATTATCATTTATGTTGTTATCATCTTTATCATCATTATCATCATTTTCATTATAACCATTATCATCTTCATTATATTATTATATATTATTGTTAACGTCTTTATCTTCATATCATTTAACAATTCAACATATAAAATACATATCCACACTATCCAAAACAAACATAAACTAAGTAAGCTAGATATATAAACAAACCGATAACGCTCTAAATAAACAAATACATGTAAAAAAAAAAAAAAACACAAAAGCAATTATCAAAAAATATAAATAGAAGAGACCCCCCTCACCTTCACCGCGCCGACGATGAGCAGCACAGAGAAAACGAGGAAGAGCAGCCACACAGCCACCTGCACGTACACGAAGATCCGGGCTGTGGGGGGAGGAGCCATGAGCGGGTTTTTATCTCATCTAATTTATGTGTGCATGTGCGTTTGTGTGTGTGTGTGTGTGTGTGTGTGTGTGTGTGTGTGTGTGTGTGTGTGTGTGTGTGTGTGTGTGTGTGTGTGTGTGTGTAAGAGTATATTGGTGAGTTTTTTTCTGTGTAAGTGTGTATACTGAACGAGAGAGGGAGCTGTCTCACTCTCCAGTTGGACTTTCCATAATATAATATATGTAAATTTCATGCATAAGAGCATGAGGGGGGGGGGGCTTAAAAAATAAATAGATAAAATCTAATCTACACAAGGGCACTGATACTGAAGACACTGATATATTTCGTGTTAGCAACAGATGTACAGTCCCAGACAGATAACTGGAAACGGTCTCATGGCGGGCGAGCTCCTTTTGGCAGTCACGAAACCATCCAACGAGGAAGAACAGGAGGCAAGGGTGGGGAGGGTGATAATTGGGGTTGTAATAGTAATGAGCCGGTAACTCAGAGACGGTGGGGAAAGAGAAAGGATAAAAGATGCCATATCATCGTTATTTTTCAGGATAAAAGGTATTGACCTTATGTGATTATTAGGGTGTAATGACTCCGACAGGCGTTGTACTTAAATTGCCAAATTAGTGACGCCAAGAGCAATGCCCAGTCTGTTTGCATTTGCTCAGAATAGTCTTTTAACCATCCTCTTCTCTTGCTTATCCCTGTGGGCAAAAATGAAACACACATACACACTTATACACATATTTTTGAGATATGGTATAAGTGCGTGAAATTCTTTCACCCTCATGAACTTTTGTAAATCCTTTATATGTGTTATGAATATTTACCTGATTTTAGGAGAAAATAAAAAATGTTTGCATATCATATAGAGTGAATTATATAATGCAACAGTACAGTATCATAAACAATCAAGAACAGATTGTTGGTTGGTCCAAGTTAGCCCCGACGTGATTTTATACAAATATGATGGAGTTACACCATCAATAGCTTCTTCACTTTTGATGACAACTTAGAGGAAAGCACAGCTGTACTAAGAAAAACACAGCTGCACTGATTCTCAACCGCTTGTTACATGCAAACCTACTCACTCATTTACGATAGTCATTCACAGTCGTACTCACACTCATGGCCACAGACAGGAAGTAAGTTGATAGCTGCATGTTAAGATTCGCATTACCCTTCGCATTTCTTCTGGGTGAACTGAATCTTTTGATCAATTAATGGTTTGCTGCTTTTTTTCTTTTTTTTATTAATGGCTGGCTGCATCTTTTGATAAATTAATGACTGGCTGCATCTTTTGATAAATTGATTATTGGAGACGTTAAAGTATCATAATGCCAAAATTCCCTAATAACACCTCCCCCCCCCCCCTATTCATTCTTAGATGCCACCACTCCACCCTAAGTCTACCACTTCCTCCTTGGTGATAGTAGCAGGTCATCTAGAATCAATTCATATGTGCTTAAAAAAACACTAACTTACTCTTATTTACGAGCCTTACGTCGCCACATCTCTATTCCTAACGAGTCACATCAGGCTAAACATGATATGTCTAGATATTTAGGTTGGTATCTATGGTACCTATTACCGCTTCTTTCTGCCTCTGCACTGCTATAACCTCAGCTTTCACCCCTTCCACCGGGCAGCCAAAAGGGACCAACCACGCGAGTACCGGGACTGAGGCTGTTTCCTTCATCTACTAGGAACTGCAGAAGTCCAGGAAATGTAAGCATCATTGTGCATCAAGGTGTTGCGATGTTATTTATGAAGATGTATGCTTATGTGCGTGTAAGTGTTATATGAATATTGTGTGTGTGTGTGTGTGCGTGTGTAGGTGCGTGTGATAAACAATGATAAGCAGTTAAAAGAGAGTGAGTGCATGCATGACAGAGGAATAAAGAGAAAAAAAGGAAACTGTCCAATAAAAGTTTCCGCGCCAGCCTCAGCCACACTCAGCCCCTCACAGCACATGGCATCCAAAAATACCACGTGAGAAAAAGCAAGAGGAGAGGAGGACAAGGGGAGAGGGGAGGGGGGAGTGGGTAGCCTGACCTTGCGGACTGATAGCATAGTCCTGCACTGGCAAAGAAGAGGAGGCCTGGCTATTCTCTAATAATATGACTCAAGAACTCTCCTGTGGTTACCCCCCCCCCTCCCCAGCCACCAACTCTGTGTTCCCTTTGCCCCGCCTCCAAAGTGGATTGCAAAGGCATAAGGAGGGAACACACCTCCACACCTCTTCTTGTCCTCCTTCTTCTCATCCTCGCTTCTTATCCTCACCTCGTCATCCTCATCCTAATCCTCCTAATTCTATATTTTTTTCCCGTCCTCCTCCTCCTCCTCCTCCTCCTCCTCCTTCTTCTTCTCCTCCTTCTCCTCCTCCTCCTCCTCCTTCTCTTCCTTCTCTTCCTTCTCTTCCTTCTCCTCTTCCTCCTTCTCCTCCCCCCCTTCTCCTTCCCCTCTGCCCCCACACCCCCACCCTTTCTCTCCCATGGGGGAGGGGGGGCGATGTTCATGCGTGTCAAGGTTGTTGACACGTATGAGGGGGAGTTTATGTTAATTAAAGATGCTTCTAATATTGGTGATGACGATTTAGGTGACATCGATATCTGTGATGTGATAATCAACGCTATCTATATATCTATAGCTATATCAATCTGTCGATCTACCTATCTATCTATCAATCTATCAATCTATCTATCTATCTATCTATCTATCTATCTATATATATATATATATATATATATTTATATATATATATATATTTATATATATATATATATATATATATATATATATATATATATATATATATATATATATATGTATATACATATATGCATGTACGATTATTCATGTATATATATAAATACATATAAACAAATATGTGAAAATATGTAATATATAAAGAGTGAGTTGAATTCATATAAATAAGAATGAATAAAACTGATAAATTGAAAATAGTGCAGTTAAAGCCAATGCCAGATAAACCAAGACGCGCAACTAACTATGGTTCCTCAAAAGGCAGCTAACATTCCGATCGCGCAAGCAAACACGAAGGCGATCGACGCAAACCCAGAGGAAATGGAAGCCGCCCTGCCCCGCCGCCCGCCCTTGCCCCTAGAAAAATAAAAATGAAATAGTTGAAAATGAAAAACTCCCCGAGGGCTTGTCTCCTCACCGGCCAAGAGCGTGCCGGCGTCCCCGAGGGCCTCGCACGTCGGCAGGAGTCCCAGC